AAAAAAAAAAAAAAAAAAAAAAAAAAAAAAAAAAAAAAAAAAAAAAAAAAAAAAAAAAAAAAAAAAAAAAAAAAAAAAAAAGGAAAAAAAAAAAAGGGGAGAAAAAGAAAAAGAAAAAGAAAAGGAAGGATAACGGAAAACAATTGTGCGAGAGCGGTGCACAGAGGGTACCCTTTATTACGTGAGGCGGACCCAGGGATCGAATCCTACACGGCTGCCAGAGAGCTGCTACTTCCTATTACAGGGACCTATAGAGGCTTCTCCCGTCACTCCCAGTCTTCCCATGCTACTTCCTGAGTGGCGTGCGAAGACGCCCTTATGCCTTATTACGCATGCCCGATCAGGGGCTCAAGTCCCAACAGTGAGTGGTTAATTCTAAGTGTTAGTAGGATCCGTCGAGGTAGCTCCTGTCGTCACCCACCTTTCAATCGTCCGAGTAGTCTTCAGAGTCCCACAGCTTCCTTCTGACCTGGGTATGCGTGTGCGTGTGTGTGTGCGTGTGTGTGTGTGACCCACCCTCTATCCCTCCGAGGGGATTGCAGAGGCACTTGTGGGTCAGCAGTCCCGAGGGGGCTGCTGACCCATCTGGCCAGCAATCCCCTCGGACTCCACACACCTACACAGACACAGACACGCACAGTATTAGTCCATTCCATGATTATGCTGGAGCGATTGCAGAGTTAGTTGCAGGTTTACCCTGCTGGGTTGATACATATGCTGATTCTCGAAGACCTTCCTGACAATGCTCCAGCATTTGTGTGAGTCGTACCCATTGTCGACCATGCAACCTACCAAGCGTCGGATCTCTTGTGCAACTTCTGATGGGTCGGTGCAGAGGATCAGGATCTGAGCCGTATGGGCTGTGATGATCTGCATGGACTGCGCTATGCTCCTGTTGGAATTGAATCGAGTGAACTTGCAGGGTTCGAACCCCAGGTCCTTCCTTTCGCTTCTCGTGGTTGCGAACTCGCCCTTTTCGACGGAAGAAACAGTGATAGTCATGCTGAGGAAGTTGGTGATGATGCCCTGGCCGTTTTCGTCAGTAAGCTCAGTCGTCTCCTTGATTTCGATGTGGTCTGCGGGATAGATCCATCTCGGGTCCTAACTCCGGTCACAGCTACCCTTGAAGCAGTCTCTGACAGAGGGATTATTTAGCGAACAGACGTCGTCCACGTACCTGAAGGTATATCTGAAGGCAGCGACCAGCTCGTGTAAGCCGCTTCTCAGCATTCTCTGCATGGCCTGGTACTCGTATCTGAAGAAGTACACGTCGCACCAGATCGGGGAGCAAGCCAGACCCATGGGAATCCCCAGGACCTGCCTCCAGACTTGACCGCCCAGCTGGACGAGACTATGCGTCACGCACCACTCTGTGACCCAGATAACCTGCATCTCCGTGAAGTGCAAAGTAGTATCTGTGGGACAAAGATGTCTGTCAGCCCATGCAGCGCTCATACGTCCGCTTTCGCTCACATGAACTCTGATTGCGTCCCTCGGGCTCCTGTCGCATCTGTGCTTCATTGCACATTCCACAAAGAACTTCACAGCAGCAATCAGACTGTGATCGGAGGCGTCCGTCGGGATCAATTCGAAGCAGCGGGTGATGTCGGCCGAGTAAACAGACGAAATCATCGGCGGTAGACTGGCGGCGAACTCGCCAACCGAGGAGGTCGGCCACCAGAGGTTGGGTTTCACTCCAAATTCAGCCTCCATCAAACAACTCTCTTCCTCGCAAAACTCTCTGACGGAGGGGACCAGGAAGCTCAGTAAGCAAGCGCATAGCTCGGCCATGGAAGAGACGACCGAGTTCGCTGTGTTGGTGATCCATCTGAAGGTACCCTTGTGGGCCTTAAAAACCGCCATGAGATACGGTAGTGACGCCCCAATGCGGTGTAGCGCTAGCAGGTGTTCTGTTCCAGCTTGCATGGCTTCTACCAGGGTCTGCGGCTCCACGTGCATCGGGACGAAGTCCGGAATGGAGAGTCTTGTCAGCGCAAGTTGCCTGATGAAATTCACGCAGACGAAAGACGGCGTGTTGGCTGCTTTGTCGGTGGCGAGGATCAGGAATCGCCTGGAAAGGAACTCGACCTCTTTCTTGATGACGGTTTGATCGATCGGCTCAGCTGCTATGTGTTTGTGCCTGATCCAGTACTTGCGCATCTTGGTTTTCGCATTTGCGAGTGCCAGTCTGCTGACCATCTTCCTCCTTCTCTCGCTGAGTTGCATGACCTCTTGTACGTTCACTGCTACCTTGATCAGTAGTTGCTCGAACTCGTACAGCGCTTCGTCGATGTCAAGCGCCTTCAGAGGGACATGATTGAGTCCGAGCTTCAGCATTGCCCTGAGCTTACTATTGTCAGTGATGTTCGGATTCATCATGACCACGTGCTGGTACGGTGAGTCCGGAATGAGCTGTGCGGGAATGTGACTAAGAAGAGAAGAGTACCTCTGTGCGCGGCAGGGGCATCTAGCGGCGTCATAGTCCTTCGTCCATTGATCGAGGTTGAAATCCCTGAAGGTTCTCTTTGGCTTGCAGAGGTAAGCTGAAAGAGGATCGTTGTAGGTCCAGCCGATCACGACGTCATCAAGCCAGGTCTCAGCTTCCTCCCCCACTACTCGTCTCAGTGCGTCCAGGATTACTCTCCTTGCAGAAAAAGCTTCCATGACCCTGCTTGAGTATCTCATGTGTAGAAAGGTGCCTTCGGTGCGCTTCCTGCTCTCCCATTTGAACCTGTCATTGGGAAGTCGGACCAGCCTTCCGCCAAGCTCAAGATCCTGCGGGAGACGGATAGTGTGGTATAAGGGAAGAAGAAAAGGGGGAAAAAAAGG